CAGAAAGGCAAGTGCGATCTCGTCGCCATCACATATATAATTCATATCTTATTCATATTTAGTTCATATTAAGTGCATAGTAATGTATGCATATTACTTTATACATAATGCATACTAGCGGTCAACGGGTCAACGACGAAAGTCAATGGTCAACGGCGGAAGCCAACGGTCAACGACGGAAGTCAACGAATTTCAACGGAAGTCAACGCTGGAAGTCAACGGTCAACGTTGGAGTCAACGGTCAACGCCGAAGTCAATGGTCAATTGTCAAAATAATATTTAAATAATTAAAATAATAAAAATAAAGAATTAAGTAATAAAAATAAAAAATTATTATTTAAATGAAGAATTAAATCTTGGCCACACATCATGTACCAATCTAGTGGCTAGGAATGAGTCTCACATGCATACTTTAAATATGTGGATTCATTTATTGGTGTGTCGTTTTTTACTTTTCCACGTCCAATTTGTTGACCGCGTGCTTTGATTTACAAAAATATGTGAAAAAAAAGTCATCCTTTTGTTGCAAAAATTAAAAAGTTGAAATTGCATTGTAATCGAAACAATGAAATTTGGCAAAATAGTAAAAGATTAGGTTGAAAATTTAAATACCTTTTATTAATATATATATTATTATATATTTAGTATGACTGGTGCAAAAAAAAAAATTATATATTTAGTATGACACTTTTTATTTGTGTGACTTACTTGTGTTATATTTTAATAATTTATTTTTTAACTTACAACATATAACTACATTAAACATAAATATATCAACTGAGAAACAATTTTATTTTTTTAATAAATTTTAATAAATATTATTATTTTTTTGTTATTATAAAGATAAATATAATTTATTTATTTTATATATACAATATGGATGTCAAATCGAAGATCATGAAAAAATGATTAATTTGATATATTATATATGTAAAACCGATAAGAAATACAAAAGTTATCAACTTTTAAAATACATTTATAATTCAATAGCTAATTGAAGAAAACAAATCAAAAGTCAGGGATATATTAGTCACTTAGTGCCTCAATATGTAAATTTACAAATAATTACAGGGTTATATTAGTACAAGTGATATTAAAATACCTAAGTTAGCTAAATAATATTTATGAAATGCCCGAACCTAGATTATTAATTATTAATATATCAATATTTTTTGTTCAAACCTAATAACGAGGCATGATTCTTCACCAAGTAGAATTCCGAAACACCAGAAACAACCATGTAGGCTCAGCGCATTCGAGAATTATATATAGGGAGGATATTGTTGTGTATTTTGTAGTTGATTTCTCTAATTGCAAAGATTACAAGTAAATTTAGCAATGTAAATTCGCAAGTTGTTCAAATGGAAAAACGCTACGTACCTACATGAAACACCATGACCGAATTTACCCACATCTTCAAGTTATTTTCCTTAAAGAGTAAAAAAATTTACCGAGGGCAGGCACGTAATTTCACGTTTGGGGGCCACGCCATCCCTTTCTTTTTTCTTCCTGACCTTTCTCCCGCTGTCTGTTGGTGCTTTGGTAATAAGAACTAAGGAGGATTAAAAGAAACTACTAGTTGTCTCCCACTCCTCTCTTAAGTTTTAACACTCCATTTTACGGTTAAAACAAAATTACAGTCATCAAGCGTTAGAGGGACTGAAAATTTGCAGTGTGGATCCAAATATTTTATGTTTGAATTATCATTTTATGCATTTACTCGATTGGGCTTGTTTTATGTGACTTTACCGTTGCACCAAATTTGATAGTTTAAATAAATAGACAATTTTAGAATTCAATGGTATAATTATTTGTATTTATTTTGAAATTAAATGAGTTCATCTAACTATGGTTCACACTCTTATGTTATCTCCTACACATAATTTCCGAATGTGCTGAAATTAAATGGCGCACTCGCATGATTCGAGATTCTATGTGATCAAAATTTCATGATTTGTCATTTGACTAAAATTTAAATTTATCAACAATTTTTTTTATGCATAATATATTAAATTAATCATGTCTTGATGAGTTCCGATCTGACATTCTATATTGTACATACAAAATATATAAAATTTATCTCAGAGGATGGTTCAGACGATATGAGGTGGAGACTTACATCTTTGGGTGCATTTTCTATGATCTCAGCACTACAAGAAAATAGTGTTCTAGTGAAAATAAATTTTTGTCACTATGTTGTCACTATATCTACTGTCACTATATCTACAATTGTTGTCACTATATCTACAACAATTGTAGATATAGTGGCAATAATTGTCAGTATAGTGGCAATAATCATAGATATACTGACAATAGATATAATGACAAAAAAATTCTTCAATAAAACTCTATCTTTTTGTCGTGAAGGGAAGCTCGACTAGGTGACCGACTTGATCTTCTCTTCGGGGCCATTTGGACCGACCTGCTTACCCCAACCATCCATGTCTTCTTTTGGCGCCTCCTTCTGCGCCGTATTCCGATCGACACTGTAATGCAGGGGAGGGGATTTTCCTTCAATTCGCGGTGTTACCGTTATGTCGAGACCGGACATTTCTAAACTGAGACTTTTTCCCATTTGTTTTTGGAGAGCGAGGTTGCGAAGAGAGTGTGTGAGCATTTCTCCACTTATACTCATATACCCCTTCCCACTATAGATAATATCTTTCAGCTATTGAGTTTTTTCTCACAACGCGTACACTTTAGACACGTGAGCTTCCTCATTCTTTGACTGATCATGTGGTCCATCTGTACAAAAAGGAATAGTGCGAAGCATAGGGATATTACTTTTATGTGCTCCCACATTGTTTTGCTGGTTGATTGACATCTTTCTCTCCTCACAGCTCTGGGCAAACCCACACTTAGAGACTGGACCAGCTGCACGTCGCCCAATCGCATTGTACCACCTCCGCTGTCGCCTGTCCAGCACCTATGCCCCAGAGTAGATGTTTCCTGAGACCCGACTCCCCTTGGGTTAATCTAAGCACCGACGAATATTTCGACCGAATTGCCAGAACCACCGGAGGCGGAAGCCTAATTAGGGATCACAACGGAGCTCTCATTACCGCCTTCCACGCCCCTTATCAGGCCTCCTCAAGTTACACAACGGAGGTTTAGGAGCTTCACATCGGTCTTCAGATTGCAAAATCTATCTTTTCTCACATTTGGATATAGTTAGACGCTGGTGCTGTCGCCACCCTATTAACCGTAGGCCACCAGGGCTTGTGGCAAATTCAGCACCCGCTTCAGTTGGTTCGTTATCGGATATCGCGCATCTTCCGCGAGGGAAACGACCCGCTAATTTCCTCGCTTGCATCAATGCCTCCACTCCCCAGAGGTGCATTTTTTTATTCGGACAACGCTCCTCTCCTCTTCCGTACTCTTATACGGATGGATCAGATGGGTACCCATCGTTCAAATTTGGGTAGTTGCTTTGTTCTTTTGTGTGTTCTAGCCAATTCGGGGTGTTTCTTCTAAAAAAAAGTCGTATAAATGATGTATGTTAATTTAAATATAAATAGTATTACAATTATTAAAAAAATAAAAAAATAAAAAATAAGATTTACTATTATTATTAAGTTTAAATATAAATTTCTTAACAAACAACTCGTGTATTACACGTGCATTGTACTAGTTAATTAATATAAATGAACTGTATAGTCTATATTCACGAGACTTGGAGAAACAATCAACGTGAATGATATGGAGCCAATTGAGTATCTTATGTTCGAATTCATTATCATTTAATAAAGAACTCATCTTTGATCGGCTCGTAAAATAAACGAATAGAAAAATTCGATTCACATCTGACTCGTTAAATTTGTGAATGTTAGGTTTGACTTAAAAATCTTAATTGATTTACTAGTAAACGTAAAATGTTTGTTCGCAAACAAGTTCAGCTCAACATTTCATCTAAAAACCACAAAATAATAATAAAAAATAAGTTATCACGTTCAACTCATATCATTTTAGACATACGTGAATGATATGGAGCCAATTGAGTATCTTATGTTCGAATTCATTATCATTTAATAAAGAACTCATATTTGATCGGCTCGTAAAATAAACGAATAGAAAAATTCGGTTCACATCTGACTCGTTAAATTTGTGAATGTTAGGTTTGACTTAAAAATCTTAATTGATTTACTAGTAAACGTAAAATGTTTGTTCGCAAACAAGTTCAGCTCAACGTTTCATCTAAAAACCACAAAATAATAATAAAAAATAAGTTATCACGTTCAACTCATATCATTTTAGACATATATAAATAATGAAAGAACAAAAGCTCAAACTTTGTGAATGTTAGGTTTGACTTAAAAATCTTAATTGATTTACTAGTAAACGTAAAATGTTTGTTCACAAACAAGTTCGGCTCAACGTTTCAATAAGAGAAAAATAAAGAATAAGTTATCACGTTCAACTCATATCATTTTAGACATATATAAATAATGAAAGAACAAAAGCTCAAACTTTGACTAGCTAAACCAAAATGTGTTAACGTTTAGAAAAATGCTACGGTTCAGTTACGAAACCATTTTATCGGGGATTGTGGCCGTTAAATTATCATGTAACCGTCATAGATAGTTGATCTAACGGTTACAAATCCCAACAGAATGATTCCGTAACGAGATATCCCTAACGTTTAATACAATTCGAATAACAGATAAACCTTCAAAAAAAAAAAAATTTCACCCGCACGCACAAACACACAGAGAGAGTCGCACGCACTTTCACTCCCACTGCGCGTCTAAAAGACACTGTACCCTCTGCAGTTAGCCCCCACCTTTTTCCTTCCCCCAAGTAAACCATGTCTGGTAATTAATCCTCGCACAAAAATCATAAAAATACACTCCATAACCAAAAAAAGAAAATATAAAAAGAAAAAAGAAGACCAGAAAAGAAAAGCTCCCTAGTCTCTGTACGTGTGTGGTGAGAGTGGTGACAAAAACAAAAAATTAAGTAGAAAACACCAAGCTGAGACAGAAAGAAAGAAAGCAAAAAAGATGAAGAGGTGTGGCTGATAGTCGACAAAACACTTTCATCAACTCCCATATATATTTTTTTTTTCTCTCTTTCTTTCTTGTCTCACTATATAGCTACCTGATTAAGCCCGGCGAAGAAAAGGGGGAAAGAAGTAAAGAAAAACAAAAGCTAGAGAGAGAGAGAGAGAGAGAGAGAGAGAGAGAGAGAGAGAGAGAGAGAGAGAGATGGTGGGCTCAAGCGGCGGAGGAGGAGGAGGAGGAGGAGGAGAGAGGAGTAAAGAGGCCGTGGGGATGATGGCCCTTCATGAGGCCCTTAGAAGCGTCTGCTTCAACACCGACTGGAATTACTCTGTTTTTTGGACTATTCGACCTCGCCCGTATTTCTCAATTTCTCAAATCAAGCCTTCATTTATCCTATTTTTTTCTCAGTTTTCTTGAAATTTCTTGGCTGAATCTAAGAGGGTTTTTTTTTTGTGGGGTTTTGTTTGCAGGAGAGTTAGAGGGGGCAATGGCTGCAAAGTGGGAGACGACAATGGTAGCCTGTGAGTGTAAATTTTTATTTTATTTTTTGTCTATCTGAGTGTAAAGATTTGATTTTTATTCTTGATTTGCTCACGAGGTTCTTGTTTTTGTTATCACTTGTTTTTTAGTTAAGGATAGGGAGAATTTTAAGGTTTTACGTGTGGAGTTTGATTTTTTACCTTGTCTTTTCTGATAATGTTGTGTTCTTTTTTTTCTTGGGTTTTTGTTTGTTTGTTTGTTTTTATGTGCAGAATGTTGATGTGGGAGGATGGGTTCTGCAGAGGGAGATCATTAGCTGTTGGGGAGTGTTTGGATGAGATGGATGGTGGTGAAGATCTTGTTAGAAAATCCTTCAGCAAAATGTCCATTCAGTTGTATAATTATGGAGAAGGGTGGGTACTGGGTAGGTTTTTTTTTTTTTTGTAATTATATTGGATTTTGTGTGTGTTGTTTGTTTTACTTCATGGGTCTGGTTTAATATTATTTTTGGTTGGGGGGGGTGAAAATTTTATTTGGTTGCAGATTGATGGGAAAAGTTGCTTCTGATAAATGCCACAAATGGGTGTTCAAAGAGCCAACAGAGTGTGAACCAAACATCTCCAACTACTGGCAGAGCTCCTTTGATGCTGTAAGTTTTTTTTTTTTTTTTTTTTT